GTCTTGAAGAGATAAAGAAACCTTGCCTGTGTGCTGATCCAACTAAGGAGTGCGTTTTACTGACCTGTAAAGTGTGTCCAAAAAGATATGCTTGGACCCTGGAATCGTTGCCAATGGAGGAAAACGAATAAATAAAGTAGCTTTTTGTGAATTTAGCGAACTGCTGAAAAAACCAATGGAGAGTAACACATTTTGCAATGATCCCAGAAAGTACGTAACGAAGTAATTCCCCATCAATTCATGTGACACGCTCAGCAGCTTCCTATGAGCTCAGAAAAGTCGCATCTCAAGGCTCGTTCGACCGTATTGCATTTTGATTTTGCGCAAACCCAGCGTCGTTCTTCCGCGAGCGGTACAATGCTTCCATCGGAAGAACCAAATCGTGCCTACATTCACCTCCGTTGCTACTTTGGAGCGAAAAATCAACAGCTTCGGAGTTATCAGCGACGACATCGTGCAGAATAAAGCATGAACTTTTTGTTAAAATTATAACATACCAGTGATGCCTTATGTTTACTAAATTGCACATAAGGTATATCATAAAGGCTACGGTCGCATTACAAGTATATACCTATATTAATTACGTAAAAGATTTGACAACGGCCCATATCTTTAATCTTAGAACAGAATTACAAATATGTCTTCTTTTCAAACACACTGCTTAATATAACGAAACGGTATATGTCAAATAAATTTTATTTCACGCATAAGAACACAGACAGATTTTTATATAAAAAACTTGAAAAATATAAAAATATACGTATTCCTAACATGACGTTGAATTTTGTATTTTTAGCATTTCTTCCCAAGTTTGCAGTGTTGTTTCTTCTAAATAAACTATACCTAAATTAAAATATTATAATTTTTAAATTGTCTTTGATGCAAGTTTTCATTTGATGTTTGAGCTAGATTCAAACTTGGCTTAGTATTGTCAAGGGTACACGATTCAGGAAGGTTTATTTTATAAACTAAAACAACAACAAACAAAAAAACATACTTCTAAAGAGCTTCGATCCTTCCATACGGAGTCTTCAAACAGTAAAAAAAGTTATAATTGATGTGAAAAAAATTGGATAAATATTTCGAGGCTCTAAAGTGCGTCACTCTAGAAAACCTTTAAAAATGCCAAGACTACTTCTGACATTTGGAAACACAAAACTCAAGAACAAAAAATGTTCCGTAGCTCTAATTTGTAGTTTTGTTTTTGTCGCACATTTTTCACCAAAATATTTATTTTTGAAGAATTGTTTTTAAGAACCATAATTTTTTCTTGTACCATTTGACGTGAAATCACCCCTCGATACTTCTTTTCACAAGTAACGACAACCAATACAAATGAAAAAAAAAAAAAAACAACATTTCACTGGAACGAAATACCGTAGTTCAGTCAACAGCTGTGCGTCGCCATTCGCTTCCTTAGACCTGCACTGTCACGCAGTCGGCGCTTCAAAGAATGTCGCTACTTGTAGTCAGCCTTCATCTAGGAACTTTAGGTGCGACCTCTGTCTGCTGCTTCGAATGGAATAGCGCGGCGTCATTTATAATTTACACACCGTAAAAAAAACCGTCGATCCTTGGTCGACCTTTCCTAGCTTTGTGAAAGCTATGCATGGCGCAGATATCTCTGATTGGAACCACCGTACGCGCACCCCTAATTCTTTTATGTTGTGGACGGCAGCGAAAAGCCTATTGCATATGGCTCGTTAACCCTCGGTGAGGATGAGACGCCGACCAATTGTTCAAGCCGTCATATGCAGAACTGCATTGTATGAGGAACATACACAGGACGCTATAACTCCAGCCTGAGTCTTCTAGACATGCGATGCCGTTGAAACGTTGCGTCCTCCTTCTGTAACGATTTTTTTTTTGTTTCGACGACGTCTGCACAACTCCGGCATAAGTCTGCGCACGTAGTGTCCGCAGTGTGAAAGAAACTCCGAGAGGAAGTAAACACGAACTGTGAGACGACGACCGCGGTTGTAATGCGGGAGAGTGTGGTAACGGCGGAACGGCCGGAAGGCTCCTAAGAAGCGGGCTGCACAGGCGCGTTAAGTGCGATCCAAACCAACGCGTTTTTGTGCGCGCGTAGGTCGTGCGCTTCCCGGAAATTGCGTATTTCCTGACGTTTTTGCGGTTTCCGGGCGGTTTCTGAGTCCCGACCATGCGCGTTGGTTAGGTGCGGTTTCGGGCGAGCGGAGAGCTCCTGCGCCAGACGGCGAAGAAACGCGAAGCTCCAAATGGTGCACTCCACCGTTTGGCCAAGAGGGGAGCGTCCTGCTACGTCACAGCACGTTTTCGTGCACGTTCAGAAAAAGTTAAATCATCCAACTTTCTTATTCGCGCCCGAAAGGCACAAGGAATCAGCGCGATGTCACGAAATACGCAATTTCCGGGTGACGCACAGAGCACGCGCGCACAAAAACGCGTTAGTTTGGATCGCGCTTTACACCAATCACGTAGACACCGCTGAGCGCCGAGAGGAAGCGTTGCTGACGACACTCGTTACGCTTCACCGGAGAAGTAAAAACAAGCAAAAAGGGGCAATCGCGATGACGTTTATCTCAATGATGGCTACGCCTACGTCGTAGCCTCATGACTGCGCTTTTGGTTGGGCCTCGATTCGCCCGCTCGAGTCGGCCGATATCGGCATATGGCGAGTCACAACGTTTGTCGGACTGTTTAAGAAACATTTAGATAGAACTATAGTGCCTTGCAACTCAAGAAGGGAGGGCGAGGGAAAGGAAGGCCTGGAAGGAGGAAGCAGACGGAACGCTGCAGTGGAGAGGCGGAAACCTCCTCCTCTCCCCAGCGTTCCGCCCGCTTCCTCCTTCCCGGCCTTCCTTTCCCTCGCCCTCCCTTCTTTATTTGCAAGGGACTATAGGTCGTAATATTTGACTGACAAAAGAAATAATAAGACAAACACGGAAGGGAAAACATGCCAAGGGTGCAGGCGAGCTGGTGAATATTAACCATGTTGAATTAGCCTAAGACTGGGGTAGAGAAAAACAAAAAAAAAACATCAAAACGTGAAAGAGGCAGAAAATAGACAGGACTATGTCTCAAACTCAGCAGCTCTTTTCTGTCTCTTCTACGATTTAGCGTTTCCCAGTCTCAAGTTAATTCAACGTGGTTCGAAAGGGAAGCCAAGGAGAAGAACGCGAGGGCTGTCGCAGTACGACGCCAGAAGATAAAGAGAAAACAAATACAAAACGAAAAGGGTACTGCAGCAAACGACAACCAGATAGGGAGACGAAGGCCGGGAAGAGGGTAAAATGAGTGAGTCGTGGTGCAAACCGACAGATATTCCGGATTTGTATCCAAGAACTCGTAAGGAAGCCCGCTTCCGGTTATGACGTTACCGGTCCGTTTTTACGGGTTCCGGCACTAGTAGGGAGTTGTAGTAGATCGTTTTTCTCCTTCGCCACGGTATCCCCGAAGAAAACGCCGCAGCTGCGCATGCGCGTCGTTAGCCTTCTCTGCATAGTTCAAGATCTTGTGGCGGATTACGGAGCGCTATCCGGGTGCTTAGCGAGCTGCGGGAACGGTCTACAATTCCCTAGTATTTGGAGTTCAAATATCGCAACTTTTACGTGTCCCGTATGTGACGTATAGGTAGGTACCCGTATTGTGACGTATGCATTCGCATTGAGGAAGTGTCCAATCACGGAGCGGGATTCCTTCCCGCCGCAGAGCACGTGCTCCTTACGTGCTTGACGAACGAACCAATGAACGCCGTCCGCGACGTCTCCGACGCCGGGACGCAGGACCTTTCCCCCAACGCACCCCCCCCTTTTCTCCCCTCACCCCTACCCCAAGAGTGAGTGACAAATGTGCTCAGCTTGCGTACACTATTGACTCTATTTGCCTCCTTAATTTCACTTCAACACCTACAACAACAACAACAACAACGCCGGCGCCGGCCGGTGTATATGCCCGATCATGGGCGCGCAGGGTCGGCCGGCTGCGTTGCTGTCGGCTGCTTGCAGTGATTTTTCTGCGCCGAGTCGCGTCTCTCCCGTCGAAAATTAGTCTAGGTGTTCCCTTTTGCCGTCCGCGACGTCTCTGACACCGGAACACGACTGCTCAACGTTTCCGCACTTGGTCGAGCGGAGCGTGTATTCGAGGTGCCCGTCGAGATCGGTGATGTGGGCTTCCCTCGCGATAGTTTCTGTGGTGCGGTCTATTGTACGACCAAGTCGTACAATAGACCGATCTCACCAAGCGTTCGGCGCATGCGTGACCCCGCCATAACTTTAGTACGCAGAAAACAGGCAGCAGTATACAAGAAGGCTCGTGCCGCCTCATGCTCCACACGCGCAGAGCTCCAGAGAGGTTGTCGCACGTGCGGAAATGCTAAAGCTCCCTCGATGCATTGCGGCAGCGGTGGCGTAGTCAAACTGGCTGGTGAGATCGGTCTATCCCTCTTCGTATTTCGTGCGCCGGAACACGTATTATTTTTTTTTTTTTTTTTACGGTTTGCGGCATACGAATCCGGAAAACGTGTCGGTTTGGGCCGTGCTTTATCTGTGACGCTACAGCCAGGATTATAAATTGACGGCGACAGCTTTGATGTAGTGATCATCATCATCATTATTATTATAAGTATTATAATAATATTATTGGTAATAATAATAATAATAATAATAATAATAATAATAATAGTAATTATTATTTTTCTAATATCACGGCTCAAGCTTGTAGACATTGCTTACTTAAATATAAACAGTTAAGGTGACTTGACGTTTTGTCTTATTAAGATGTTTGGTCTCTTGAAATCGACGAACACTGCGGGCTGGCTTCTTCAATGTCGAGTACGATTTGTAAAAAATTCAAATAAATATCTGGTTGTCCTACGAAAGTCACGCTACAAGATAAAACTTTAGGCATCTGGGTAACGATAACCTTACTCACCAAGATATATTATGAAGCATCGCTATTCTGAATCGTAGCTTTTTTTAGTGGCTCAAAGTGGCCCGTAGCGGTGATTTTTAAAGACTTACCATGCTTTAGCTTGTCTCTGGTGTCTGTTAAGAGCAGAAAATGATCCGGATGCTCGTCAAGCAACGGTGTCACCTCTTATATTTGGACTGGGAGCCGAAGCAGCTGTCTGACGAAAACAACGAAAGAAGCTGACATATCAGTTCTATTGGATGTGCTCGATAAGCAAGCGGGGAAAAGCCTGCTTCCATAGAAATGGTTTATCTACAGCCCCGATAATGGGGAAGCACCCACCTACGTTATTTGTCTCGCTTCCGCAGAAATATAAAAGATGTCGTGTGCGTCACGGAACTAGCCACGAGGTCGCGTGATCGGTATTCTTGCACTTATTCATTGATAAGGTTGCGTGTTTTCAGGGTATATCAAAGGCGACATCATTCCTTTCGGCAGCCGTCCATCCAGGTTAAAGACCTCTCCATCGCTTATCACCCGGGCGAAAAACGCCGAGCCGCAGAGCAGAGCAACAGCGCATGCGCAGAAGGCGTTGCACGGCATAGCAGACGAAGATGGCAGCGCAGAGAAAGCGATTTTCGCAAAGGTCTATAGCGTCTATAGCAGAAGCGTCGAGCGAATATCCCGTGCACACGGCTGTCATGGCGAAATACACTTTTTTTTTTTTTTTGCTTAGTTGCACTGTCAGTCTGGTGGAGACGCTACCGGCATAGGCTGCTTAAAGGGGCACTGACACCTCGTATTTGCTTTTGTTGTCAAAAACTACGCTAGTTGTAGTCATAAACACGCAAAACGAGAAATACCAGAACGCAAAAAAAAAAAAAAAGAAATATATTTATATATTCCCACGCGCGCGCGCGTCTTTTTATTTTTGTCGTTTTGTCTCCCGCTCCGGGCCTCCGCGTACCTTTTATTTGTAACGTAATGGATTGTGAAATTTAGAACCTTTGTAAGTAATATTTCTATCATATTTAACAAGGGCATTCGTAAAACCGTTTCTTTTTTCTTTTTTTTTTTAATGCAATTCTGAACGCAGTACCACCCTTCTTTTTGAAATACAGAAGATCGGAGTTTGGAGTGATGTCGCCTCCTGGCTTTTTATCCTCACTCGGGAAGCATGGCGGCGATCGACGCTTATAGCACTTACGATGATCGGTGTATATGGGGAACCGGACGAAGTTGTCTTTTTTTTAGGTGCCCGACGACCTCTCAGACTTCAAAAAAGAAATCGTCAAACGGTCAAAACAACCGGGTTTGTTGGCTGCGTACCTGGTTTCGATTGTGACCCTTTCGGGGAAGCCTTTGGCCGCTCATGTCGCTCACAGAAGTTCTGCGCGTTCTCTTCGACCTCACACCGTTTCAAAGAATTTCAGATCGCTGAAAGCTTCAAACACGAAAATGAAGCGTCGTCTGCTCACAGCGATAGCGGCTGATCGCACGAAGCGGCTGATCGTGGGACGCGGGTGAACACGACATGGAGGTGTGAGAGAAACTTGAGTTGCAGGATGACTCAATCTTTGACATCACTACACTGGCACGGACAGCGCGGGAACTTCAAACTCGGCTCTGAGCATTTTTTTTTTTTACTTCACAAATAGTGTGTTTTCAAGTTTCGAATTTTGATGGCAATGCCCAGGCATCGTTTTCAATCGTTTTGAACCACAATGAAAAAAAAAGTTCACATGTCAGGTCACTTTTAAAGCCCCTGTACCTGGGACAAGTGGTGCATTCTCCTCCCTCCTCCTCCAAAAAAAAAGAAAAACCTCTTTACCTCGCCTCTAACTTTTGGTTTGCGACGGAGGCTCCCTCTGAATGTTCCCAAGCGCCTCGGTGGGTCTCGGTCAGCTGGAGCGGCCCGATGCCGGTCGTGTGGACTTTTCTCGTCATATAAGTGTGGCAGTGATCTCATTTAGAGCCCGCATCATCAGCCGACCGCCATGAAGCGGCTTTATACTGTAAAACCCTTTATTCTCGCGGCCACTATTTTTCGCGAATCGGTCACAGATGACATAATTGCGACCACTAAATTTCGCGAATTCCAGACGCCTACATTGAAAATCTTAAGGACTAAAATTTTCGCGCGCCCTTAAATTTCGCGAATTCTTCAATTCGCGAAATTCGCGAAATTTGAGGGCTCGCGAACATAAAGGGTTTTACAGTATCTGTTCGTCTAACTGTGGATCCCGACACTGCTTTGGATAATCGTTTTGATCGTCCCTACCGAGTTGCGTTATCCTGTCAGTGCCCCTTGAGTGCTTGTACGACCGCTTAGGCTTTACAGGAACCGCAAGTCGTTTTAATCATCATATCACACCGCCCAATTGCAATTATATTTTCCACCAGTTCAAATAATTCACTACTTCCTTTTAATATGTGTCATTGGCGAGCTTTCAGGAGTGTTTTTCCTAAGGGCGCTAAAAAAACATTAGGCGGCATAGAAAGCATGATACTTTTATTCAATTTTTTTGTTTTAATCGGGGAAGTGTTGACCTCGTTGACGCTAAGCTACCATTTTTAAGCTGCATACTTTACTATTAATGACAAAAATCGCTACGTATCTTTCTGAGCGTGTATTGTGTACATAATGTAAAATTTGCGATACCACTGGCCTCATGAAACCGGCTATTCGGAGCGGCTACTTTTCCATGTGTAATAAATGTTTTCATCGTTTCATGTGAGCAAGCAGTTTTTAGAAATTAAAGCTACGTTTTCGTTTAGTTTCTGAACACTGTAATTTTGTTGATAATAAAAAAGTACAAAAATGAAAACTCCAACTCAACCGCGATTCCCGCTGCATTTAGACTCCCGAGCCAGCGTCTTAGGGCTCTAAGCACATTGCAGGCTCGGGAACTAGAGCTCGCGGTTTAAGTACCTGATCGAGTGTTTGAGAATTTTACTTTTATGCCGTTTTAACTTGGACCTGAATGTGGTCTATTCAAAATGTCAATATTCATACATATTAATTCTTGTAAATGTATTTAAGGACTCTAGATCCTACATCAAATCTGAGGAGAGGGAACCAATTGCAGGTTGTTATTTCAGTTAAATGGAATGGTTAAAATACAAAAAGTATAATCAAATCTTATCCAAAGATGAATGCAAAACAAGCGAAGGCGAAATAAAAATCTCCCTGAACATACACAAGCACAGATTACATTAAGGACAATAAGATCGAAGTCCCATTTTTATTTTTTTTCCACAAAAGTACCAGCCAGGTAAAAGGCCACGGCAGGAGCATGCAATAGAAGTACAACACATGCTGAATATGTAACAGAGTTGATCAGAGAATGAAAAAGGGGGATAAATTATACTAACATACGCCATACACCATAAAATGTTTCTTAACACTTCATAAATGTACAGGCAGCTTTACTGACATGTGAAATCACTTTTGCCTTTCATGAAAAAAATATCGAGGACACCTAAGCACTTCTTATGAGTTGTGAATGCGAAAGCATTAATGTCTCAACTTCTTCTAAACTGTGAAATAAGGAACAATAAAAAAAAAACGGACGAAGACAACAAAATTTTAAACACATCTTAAATTGATTGATTTGAGCACACCAGTAAATAGACTTCCAAACACATGGAGAAAAAGAAAGGGAAAGAAGGAAGTCTAATGCATAAGCAAGACAATCAACGAGTTCATCCTAGACAGCATGAGACACTCCTGGACTCCAACACTCTTGGAAAGGGAACCGCCTCCCTAACAACGACAGCCCCAAGGTCAACACACAGGGAAAGCCTTGTGTGTAGAACCTTGGGGTTTGTTGGCCCCAAAGCTTCTCGGAAAGTTACAGGCGGTGCTGTAGAGAACCGAACTTCCATAGAGCACTCTGGATCGGAACCCTAACTCCTGATGAGTTTAGAGCACTGATACTGCTTCGAGGTTGACTGAGGCACACCTACAACGACTGTCGTCTCTGTTCGTTTATTCAATGTAGAAGTGTGTGTCGTCCCATGGCTCCCCGAGCGAGGTCTGAGCAGCGTCCTACGTACCCTTGCTTCCCCCGCTTGTCCTGGACAGATTGCCGCAGCAACAGCAAGAGCTGTTGAGTTTTAATTTTTGACTGGTCTTTATTTTCTGGCGGAGTGAAGACAGTTACACGCTGTTACTTACACTCGAGCTTATTGTCTCACTTTTGGCCACTTTACAAGACTAAATAATAATATATTTTTCTTTTTCAGGTACACTGTTTACATTTGTCATCAGGCAGTATCATCAGAATGACACTCTTTTTAATGTACTGATGAATAACAAAGAGTTACAAAGACAACTATATTCAATGCAGAAAAAAACTGATATTGGCGCAACGACAGGGGTACAAGTTGCAACGTGAAGAGAATGATTTAAAATTTGATCTTTATCTTTTTCTCGTTGGATATCAACTTAAGTGTCCCGAGAAGTCCACTATGAAGGGGATTGCATGGAGTAAAGACACCCTCGAAACAACACGGCGCCGTTTCGCACGGGAGACAAGAGTTGGCGCAACGAACGCCGCCAACGAACGAGCATACGGCGCCGAGAGCCGGCGTATTTAGCAGACTATCTTTTCGACTCAAAAGCGGGGCGTGTTCCGCAGGCGGCGACAGTCGCAGAAACAAAAACAGACTTGGTAACAACAAGGAACTGCAGTTCCTTGTCTGCTAAAGACGCCAGATCTCGGCGTCGTATGATCTCGGCAGTTGGCGTCGCGACCGCTTGCGCCATCTCTTGTCTCCCATGCGAAACAGCGTCGTGTTGTTTGAAGACCGGTGGCTTCGCTGCGTTTCCATAGGAGCTAAGCCTTTTTCTTTCTTTACTTTTTCCTCAGGTAAGTTGGCTCTTTGCAAGTTGTACAAAAAAAAAATGCACCATCTGTGGGCAACGCTGCACAAAGTCGTAGCGCGATAGGTTAAGAAAATGAATATTGCGGTCGATTTAAAGAGCCTGGCGTCTCCTTAAATCACCCTGTAAATCCCCCCAGAGACGTCGGCACTCAAACCATGTGAAACGAGCGTCTCAAATGTCTTCGGTACCAGAAGCGCAAAGGCGGGATCTGCGCCGGACCACGGGCGTTTTTAGGAGCCCTCCGTTTCCTCAAGACGTATTCCGCAGCCCATCACAACACAGAAACCTCGAGGAGCATGTTTGGGTAAGATATAACTTTGATGGTGGGCG